CTTAAAGCATGGTGAATTTTTTTCTCTTTATGCTAAATGGGCATATTTTTAGGGTACATTGTGTGCCTAGCATTGTGCTCTTTGGTACAAGGTGATACTAAAACATGAATCACCTTGTACTTGGCCACAAAAGTGTGTCATACAGGAAGGAAGAGCTAAAAACATAAATGGTACTTTTTTAGCGCAGATTATTAGTTTAATAGGTGTTAGAAGGAAGAGAACAAAATACTTGCGTGTGCAAAATAAATTATCTAAATTGTACTGATATTTATTAAAAATACCAATTCAAATAAGGATCAGAATGATGATTCTAGTGCCAAATGACAGGTCACCATATCAGCAAAAGCAATGTCTTAGAAAAATTTTTATCTTTTAAAAAGTCCCTTTGAATTATGTAAAGATGGCTTTTTAAATGAATCAGATTATGCTCACATGAGGTCAGCTGAGATAAACTTGGCAAAAGACTTTAAACTGATACTCTACTCTGATCTGGAATGCCCCATTTCATAGCTTCCAAGTCTATGAAACAATGCTTTTGCTCTGTGATAGGAACTAACTTTCGCATAGCTTGAGGGGGGAGTATTTACAACCCACAATCTGAATGAGAAATCCCCTTTATAAAGAAAGTTTATAAGTGGAATTTGTACCACAAATACATCAGTCTTCATTTTTAAATGAAATCCAAGGTGGATGACAAATCAGAAGTTAAGAATTACATTGAATCTTCAAATTCTGTATTTGTGATAATTCGAATTAGTTGTTACTGGATTCTTATGTTTCTCATTGAACAACTTAGCATGTTCTGTTCACTTAGCTAGTGGAGCTGTCTAAGGCTCAAGATATAGAAGCAGGAGATGGCACCACATCAGTAGTCATCATTGCTGGCTCTCTCTTGGATTCTTGTACCAAGCTTCTTCAGAAAGGTAGGTAGGACATGCTTTATTGCTGAATGAAGACAGAAAAGTTACCAAAAAAAAAAAACTTTAGGAAAAGCCAAATTATTCTTAAGTAATATGGGACTTAAGATTTAATTCGGAAAAACTAATCATTTTGTCAGGAATGTTTAGATTTTGCTATATTTGTACTCTAAATTAGAAAAAATTTCCCTTTTGCTTCTGAGTTTTGCCAGGTTTCTTTTTGAGTGGAATTGAGGAGAATTTTGCTATTCAAACATAAATGGTGGTAGTATTACTAATCTTAGACTCTGAATGAGTCTCTTTCCCAGAGAGAATGTTAGTGTTCTTCCTTTGGTAAACAGTATTTAATTGTAGTGACTCTCTAAACACTTATTCTACTTATTATGTAGTTTTGTGATATTTTGAAGAGGATAAAATATTGGTTTTAATCTTGAACAGTACATGAATATGTAATTGATCTATTTTAAATTAAATGGAAGTAAGTAATCAGCCAGAATTAGCAGTTAAGGTTATTTAAGCCACTGTCTTTACAACTGAAGCATAAACTAAATTTGTGACTGCTTCGATATTTTAGTGAGTAGAAAAGTTTTAAGTCATGTCAAACATGTAGTTTATCTATTGTAATAAAATAATTAGACTTTCACAAATGACAGGGATTCATCCAACCATCATTTCGGAGTCATTCCAGAAGGCTTTGGAAAAGGGTATTGAGATCTTGACTGACATGTCTCGACCTGTGGAACTAAGTGACAGAGAAACTTTGTTAAATAGTGCAACCACTTCATTGAACTCCAAGGTGAGACAAGCACTAAAGATAGTTGTCAACTTAGTTTAAGGTGTGTTTCTTGGGCACTCATGTCACCTCTTTTCTGTCATGTCATACACACACCCCCATTCTTTTTCCTTTTCATTAGTATTAAATCCATACACTAATTATCTTTGAATGGTAAATGGAGAGTTAGATAGTATTAGGGACACTAAGTGATATTGTCGAATGTCCCCAGAACTAATAGAGATAGTATAGCATAATGGTTATGAACATTAGTCATAGAGTCTAAACTGTTTGTGTTTGTTCAGTGTTGGCTTTACTGCTTGACTAAGCTGTGTTACTTTGGGCAAATGATAACCTCTCGGATTCTATTTCTCCATCTGAAGATTGAATGAGTTAATATATGTAAAAGTGATAAGACCATTGCTTGGCATATAATAAATGTAGCAATTAGCTATTTTTACCAGCCGCTCATTATTAGGGGTGCACATACACAATATTGATACCTGATCACACATTCATATGTGTTCCCCTCTTTCTACCCCTGCCCTGCCCAAATAAAGTAATTAGAGCCCTTTTTTAATAGCTTTGTCATTTAAGAATTGAGATGTTTTTCCTACTGTGAAGGTAACTTTTTTTTTTTTATTAATTCTAGGTTGTCTCTCAATATTCAAGTCTACTTTCTCCAATGAGTGTAAATGCAGTGATGAAAGTGATTGACCCAGCCACAGCCACTAGTGTAGATCTTAGAGATATTAAAATAGTTAAGAAGCTTGGGTAAGCATTTCTAATTACAACTTTGATTAAAAATTTGAAAGCAGTTATAAGCTATTGCCAGAAATAAATAGGTTAAATGAAAAACACCTAGATGAAAGTCTTCTCTTTTCTCTTTTTGGTTTTGTTTTCGTGAGAACTTGTATTAGTATGGGAATCTCAAGATTTTGTTTATAAGGTAGTAGTGGATCAAAGAGGTCCGGGAATGGGGCAATAATAAATGTGAGGCTGAATCATGTTACTGGACTGATGCATTTTAATCTGTTAGTAATCTGTAAACTCCCAGATTTCCATCTCATCTTAACTACAACTTCTTTGTTTTCTTTTTTCTTAGTGGGACAATTGATGACTGTGAATTGGTGGAAGGGCTGGTTATCACCCAAAAAGTGGCAAATTCTGGCATAACCAGAGTTGAAAAGGCTAAGATTGGGCTTATTCAGTTTTGCTTATCTGCTCCCAAAACAGATGTAAGTAGAATCCAAATGAAATTGGTTCCTTATTTGTGTGTTTAACTTTCTAATAACTCAGGTTTTTTTTGTTTTTGTTTTTAAGATGGGGTTTTGGCCAGGTGCAGCAGCTCATGCCTGTAATTCTAGCACTCTGGGAGGCCAAGGCAGGAGCATTGCCTGAACTCAGGAGTTCGAGACTAGCCTGAGCAAGAAATAAATCCCATCTCTACCAAAAATAGAAAAATTAGCCAGGCATGGTGGCGCACACGTACAGTCCCAGCTACCTGGGAGGCTAAGGCAGGAGGATTGCTTGAGCCCAGGAGTTCTAGGTTGCAGTGAG